ATACAACAATTTATATTAATGATTTTTGTCGAGATAAACTTGAGTAAAAAAACAATTTTTGGGTTTATTAATAGGAAAGAGCCATATCATTGGCATGAGAAGGGAATATAAGAAATGTTTCATTTATATTATGAATGTTTATATTCGTGTTATACATGTGTTTCATAGTTTTTTCATGCATTCCAATATAATTCGTACCTTTTTCAATATATATACAATCAAATATAAAAAAATATTTCTTCTTTGAAAATACATTTTGACAAATATATTTTGCTATGCATTTCAATTGAGTTTTTCTATCAATTTGAAGTATTTATTGTTGATTGGGTATATGTAGTTATTTGAATTTTTTATAATTTTCGCTTTTTAGTTTTATATGAAATATTGTCTAATGATAAAATATATTGTTTCAATTGAAAATATTTAGAGTAAAATTACTTTATTGATATTTATTTTTTGATTCAAAACCATATTGAAGTTCTCAGCTCACAATTCTATTTAAATTTAATTGTCATTGAACTTTCTTTTATAAAATTATATTGCATAACTATTGAACGCAAAAAAAATTTTTAACAAAACAAATCATTCAAATATCTGATTGATGTTCGAAAATAAACGTAGGCAAGTATCAGCGTCAAACCTTTTCAATTTTTAACTATAATCTTTCCTCTTGAGTGTATGCACTGATTATTGTACTGAAGTAGTCTAATTTGATTAGCAAATGTCACATAATAGTTGTATGAAAGAGAAGTTACTATTGCATTATCGTAAATAACGTTAGAATCAGATTCAGCAAATTTTGGTTTCGATTCAGCTCACAAATTGTGTTGGTTTTCTAAGTGATTGATTTAAATGTAGAATTTCATTCTCTATCAAACGGTACCACTTTCAATAGAGGTCATCGGACAAAAAAGAGAAGTTGAGTATCAAATTTTGGATGTTTGATGGTGTCGATAGTTGTTGATATTCTATCTTTTCAGATCCACATTGCCACATCACCAACCACATCCTGTGCACAACATTTCGAAGGAATGATAAGAATACATATGAATGCTGCTAGAACATAGGACTCTTGCAAGAAAATCAAATTATATTAATGCGCAAATTCTATAAAAGATAAGCTGAAATATATTTGGAATGTAAAAGGCGACGAACTCACAATAATAATAATCGACTTCAATCATCAAAAATCTCAAGAAAAAATAAACAATCGATCGTTCTGTAATCGATTTGTTTTCATCTATTCAACAAGATAAAACTCTTAGGAAAAGAACTTCAAAGAAAAAATGAATTAATACGATTTCAAAAAAAATTCATCGATCATGATCAAAGACAAATATTATTTTGTAAACATTTTTTGCCTTTTGATTTGGACAAAAATCCAATAAGAAACGATCGCCATCTGTTTGAATATAAAATGATCAATAAAATTTCGATTTCTCTAATAACAAGTATGATTACTACGATATTTAGAAAGAAAAAGGAAAGAAAATAGATAAATTACACGTTTTTACAGTGGCCTTCGATACATCATAAGAACGCTGTGATAATTTTTTTTTCTAAACATAGTTAATGTCATGCATGAAAAATCAAGCGTATCAAATGTAAAATGATAAATTAATGAAACAAACAGAACATCGTAGCTATACGAAGAAGAGAAACAACGAAATCATTCTACTACTATTACATTCAATTTAAGTGAGTAAGTATCAAATGATTAATTATGATGGTGAACACATTTTTTTTTTCAAATTAGATATATTACAATGAGTGCCAATAAAGAACTTACTCAAGAACAAATAGATGAAATCAATCATTCTTTTCAGGAACTTGATAAAAACCAAAATGGATATGTAAACAAATCTGAAATTAAAGAACGTATGAAAAAAACACATCTAGAGGATCTGGATGTAATAGTTGATCATTATCTACGAAAAATGGATCAAAATGCAGATGAACAAGTTAGTTATGATGAATATCTCAAGTTTATGACGGCTATCTATCTTGGTGAACACAAAAACTTAAGAAAAAAATGAATGGTTGAATGTAGTTATAGTCGATGAACAATTCTAAACATTTAACTTTGAGGCAGTTAACTAGTAGTTTTCACACGAGATATTTAACAATATTGTAATCCTTTTCTTTTCTCTTAGTTGCTCCATGATATTTTAAAATAAACAAAGTTGTTTGATGATGTCTCTCCTAAACAAAAACCTAATCGAAATCGATCTCGATAGGCCTAAACACTCCATTATTTAGCAATCACTATATCAAATTCTGGCACAAGGAAATAAAAGGATGTTAGTGTAGATGTATGTTTTTGTGAAAGAATGATCAACATCATAAAGATATTTTTTGCTCTAGCTAAGTTTGGAGTTAAATATGCCTCTCACCTACTCAAATGGAAAGTTGATATGTGCCGGTTTTTAATTTCATTTAATTTGTTCTTTTCTTTAATAATATGAGAAAAAAATGAAGTATTTTGGAAAAAAAAACTTTTTTTTGTCTTTAAGATTGATGTAAAAAGTTTTAAAAAAACTTCATTAGTCGGAAGAAATGAAAGAGGGTGTGGGTATGTTTACAGAAATACAGTGAATAATTCATGGAAATCATACGATATGTTTCGTCGGTACTTTTTGTCCGTAAATGAAGAGTATGGGTGAGTGTTAGTGCCATGAATGGTAGGCATTATTTAAAAAAAAAGCTTCGATAATTGCTGTTCTTTGTGAAATAGAGAAAAGAAAAACATTGATTATTTTGCTCTTGTTCTTCCTCTTCTTCGTCTAGGGTACAACAGATTTAAGGATGTACTAGACTTTGAATATAATTATCACATATTGATGTCTAACTAATCAATACACAGGTCGCATTCTTCTTCTCTCTTTTTTTTTGAATATGCAATATTCGAAAAGGGATTATGAATCGAATTGTTGCATTAATAGATAAAGAGATCGAAAGAAATGCTTGAAGGATACCAAATATAAAGTTTTCGTTCTTCTTCCTTTAATACTTGGCATTGAAAAATAGTTAGAACCCATTTGATATTCCATTTTTCAATGATAACATGCTTTTACTCTTTTATTGGAATATTGCTTAAAAATTTCTTTTTCACATAAATGAAATTTATACATCAATAAATCCTTGGTTTCCAAAGAAAAGGCTGGTAACGGTGATAAATATGATCGAGATACGCAAATAAGGGTGTGGGTGTGGGTGTAAGAAGAAAAAGAATCCAACACTCCACACCCACCTCATCAAGAAGGTCAATTTTCTCACAAGTTAAGTAGAAAAACAAACATTTATGACGATTAGTATTTCTTTTTGTAGACTTTTTTCCAACCTCGAGGTACATCATCATCACCAAGACTCTCTTCATCTGAACTATTGTCATCTCTCTTGCCGGAAATTAAATCGTACAATTTCTGCATACTCGTTGAGTCCGATTCGAAACCATCATCATTATCGTCGATATTTGTGTCGAGAGTCTTGGCAGGTGTTGCTGTGCGTTGCCGTTTCAATGGTTGTGGATGTGTGTCATCAGAATCGTCATCATCTCCAATATATAATTCATTCACTTCTTTTTCCACATCAAAACATTCGTCAGCACTCATATTGAAGGTATACTGGTCGAATGAATGATCCATTGGAATCTTATTTGAAAGTTTACTATTGTTTGTTTGAGATTGTTTTCGATTAGTGGTTATTTGTTCACACCAAGATGATGGTTGAGTGACAACAGATACTTCATGTTGCATACCACAATAACGTCGTTTAGATACTCGAGGAGTTTCTTCTGTGAACAATCTTGATTTACGAACATCATAATCTGACATGAGAATATAGTTTTCTTCTGGTGTCTTTTCCCATCGTTCATAACAATCAATTAGCCATTCTGGTGTGACAACTTTTATATTATGTTGTAGAGCTTGATAGACTTTCATCGTTTGTTTTCCAGCAATGACATGCGTCGTTTGAATGTTGCCATTCCAATCATATTGCAGATCATGAGTAACTGTTGCTCCCATCGTTTTAGCCATAATTGTTGCACGATGTTTTTCTATGGGATAATTTTTTGGCATTAAATGAGAGAAGCACAGAGATACGGAACTGAGTACTTGTCGACGAACATTAGGCATAATTTGCTTCAAATTTGGCATGATCCCATGTTTGTCTTGAATCCATTGATCATAAGCTGTATAGAATATCGTATGGATATGTTTTAAAATAATTTCTAGTTGGTATAAATAGAGATCAGTATCCACAACTTCATGGGAACTGTTTTCTTTGAATCTTTTACTTAACTTATCGCTCTGCTTATTGAATTTACGTTTTTCACTTGATTGCTGTCTGTCTTCGCTATTCTCGATCTGTTCACTAATTGATGAAACCATTTGGGAATGAGAGATTGATAATGATGGAAGATGGATAGCATTTATATCACCAACATCTTTGAACCATATATACGGTTTGACATGAACTAGGTTTGGAGCGTAATTCCAAACATCGTCACGATCATCTATCATACAGACTAACGAATCACTACAAGGAAAGAGACTACTCAAATTGGCTGTTTTATCTGTCAAACTAAGACATTCATTGCGCGATAAGATTCGATGGGAAAAAAATGTTCCATTTGGATCGATTAGTTTAGCTATAGTATGTGCATACGGTCGATCACCAAAAGTAACTATATGAAATTGATAGAATGGTCGAAGATTTGTCAGAAATTCTTGGACACCTGGACGTAATTTCGTATAGAATGTTTGTGATGTTGGAGTGTTTAGTTGATAAGCAATCACATCTGATGAAGACGGATAGTGAATTCTAGAATTTGTCGTATGAACCAGAGTCTGATCGAGATCAACCAATAAATGCAATTTACGTTTACGAAGAAGATAATTACGCTCTTCATTATCGAATCTCAAAGCTTCTTCTGCAGTAATTTTTACTGTTGGAAATGAAGGTTCCATTGATATGACAGATTTTGTACATTTTAATGCTGACAAAGCATTTTTCAATTGATTTAAATCGATACCACAATCACTACACAGATTTTTAAAAGTAATCGTATGTCGACATTCTTCATATTCAAGAATGATTGAACCATACGAAAGAGTATCCAGTTCATGAACATACAATTCAGTAACTGTACCAGATACAGGTGATAAAAAAGATTGTCTTTGACCGTTCATATCAATCATAGTAAAAATTAAGTCATTTTTAATCAATCGCGTATCTGTATGAATCATTATTTTATACACTTGTATGGATTTATTTAAATTAAATTTTAACTCTTTCACATTGCTATTAACGCAACTACCGTTAACATCGGTCTGACTCATAGTAAGAAAAATATTTCGTCACTCCCTTTGAAAGATACAAGATAAAAGAAATATGTTTAATGGTTGTGTAGTGCAGGTGATTATTTTCGTTCTTACACATACGTTTGTTCTTTTACTTTCCATTTCGTATAGAATGTGTCAGAACAAAACAAATATCATGTTCTATACTACCGCTGCTATAGTTTCTCATGACAAGCTTATCAAAAGGCAAGCAGTCAACACGGATGAAATGCATGTTGCGATGACGCAACAAAGTGGGTTAATGGCGACATCGATCTGCGCGAGCAGTATTTTTTTTATTTCATTTAATAATATTCTTGCATTTATATGAAGCAGTGCCTCATTTTCGATACAAACTAAAATAAAACATGTCGTAATCAGAATGCATCATGGACTGTCTACTAACTATCTATTCAGGGTGTGGGTAAAAGAAGACACTACCTCATCTACACTCACATTCTGTATGGTTAATTGTTTAGAGCATATTTGCTTAGTATAAATTATCTCTTATATATCAAAATTAAAGCAATTACATTGCTAACAATATGAGTATCATGAAATAAATTGGGTGAAAATCGATTTGCTTTGTCTGGTTACTTGATCTCAAAAGCACTTTCTCGTTTAACAATCAAAAATAAATACTGATATAGTTTTGACGGCTTAAGATGTTGTTTCATTTTAACACAACTGGGTCACTGCCAGTTGTCAGTTTATAAAAATGAATACTTATCTTGTGCTGATTCTCTGCTTCCTAGCTTGCTTTTTCCAAGACGAACTGTCAAACAAAAGCTGTAAGTTTCGTGTAAGAGTAAGAATGTGAGATTTTTATTACTTTCTTATTTGTAGGTCAAGGTGGAAGTGTCAATCTGGACTATTGTAACAAGGGAAATTTTCGAGATCTTGAATTAATGTGTTGTAGTAGCGATGTGTGGTGAAAACAGTTCGTTTTTTGCCACCTTTCAAAGTCACACCGAAGCTTGTGTAAGTGAACTTGAGCGGTTTGGACGTGAGGTAAACATGATAATTATGCTTCATATATTTGGCATAATCATATTCGGTGATTGTAAATTCAGATGCGAATGTTTGGTTTCGTCTTCCTTAAACTTTTGAGTACCGGATTATTTTTACATAATAAAAATTTTTATAATTTCAAACTAACGTTTATTTCGCAAAAAATATCACAAAGTACATGAATTAAAATGCTTGTAGAGTGTGATAGTCTTTAAAACAATCCATAAGACACAATCCTACATCACATTCAATGGATTCATACGAAGTATCTCTTCTTGATCTGGCTCTTCTCACAGTATTGGCACAAACGTAACATTTTCTTCTTGAATTTAGTTGAATCTCTGTCGATTCAATGCGCGAAGAAAAATGCGATCAATTGATCAGATCCTTTACTATAGATAACACTCTTGAATGACTGTATTAATATGAAAAATTCTGTTGATAACGATTATTCTTTCTTGGAAAATGTTGTCCAATGACTTATGTTCTAATTCATTGAATCACATAGTGGTCGATAGAAATATTAGGGAACAACCAATATTCATCACTAGGTACAGATAGTCTTAACCGTACAAATATCCTAAACGCAAATATTCATGTAATTCATATCATAAAATAATCAAACGATCATGTTTTCTAAAGTTATTCAGACCCTAAACTATCAGGACGCGAATTCACGTCGCCGGTACTCAAAGGGTTAAAAGGTTCATAAAATGATATGCAATGAGCAGGTTCTGTGTGGTGCTTTTTCTTTCTTTGCAGAGTACTACATTTCTTCAATAAGGTGTATGTGAAACTAATTCACGCTTTTTTGACAGTTCTATGAGCCGACTTTTTTTTTGAGAACTGTGCCCTTCTTAGATTTACGACAGTTAAAATTCATAAGTTCAAGTTAACTGTCAGAGCTGGGATCGATTCGATTCGGGCCGAAATTGAACTTGTCTGATCTCTGTGAGCTTTTCAAAAGACATATTGCAACAGATCAGTTTCTTTTGAAAAAAACACCTGTTGTTTAATGCTTATCTTTATGTTGCGTGATCAGGAAAATTCCACTAATAAAAAAATCTCTAAGAAGATACTATCAATATGAGATAAGTCAAATGATTTACTTTTATAGATCATTTTGCAAATAGTCTGAGTACATTTTTATTTATCCAATATTTGACTAGAATGTACACTTTTTTGAAAATATTAGAAGCCCAGTTTGTCTTGATTAAGGAGAACATTGAATTCTTTTCATCAGACATGATTTTATTGCATACAATATGATGTCAATTTAACTCACTTGAATTTTTGTTTTCATGCAAGCTACTTTCTGTTACATATTATTCCATAGAGAAAAAATATTAGCCGTGATTTCAAAGATAACATTTTTTTTAGTATTGAGAGTTCATGATTTTGTCAGTTTTTTTATGATATCTTTGATCAATTTTGATTGCTCTATACGAACCTATTTTAAGATTTCATCGAATCTTAAAACAAGCATTAGTCGAAATTTACAACTTTTTGAGAGAAAATCCAACCAATATCCATAAATTCTGTAACCTATGTTAATTATTCAAAAACAAAAATCAAACTATTGCATCAGATAAAATATTCAAAGTTGATCAATGTTGGTAAGGATCACTGACGGAAATTTGTAGTTCTGCATATTGAACATATGATGTCTTCGGTATGGATGTGCCAATTCCTGAAGCTTCGATTCAGAAATAATGTATCTGTAGTATTGAGAGTCCATAGACTCCTGTCAATTGTTCGTGTCAGCCGTCATTAATTTTGAGTTGTTTATCCAATGCTATAATTTGTTATGAAAATGAAACTAAACAGTTGATCAGAGTAGAGTTAATGAAGATGAACAATCCAATCTAACTTACCCATTAAAATTATATGGAAAGAACGATAATATTCATAGCAAACATCTAAGAGAGTTCGATCTCTTTCCTCATATGTTATTTGGACGTTCATTTTAATAACTTCATATCAATGTAAATTTAAAAAAGCTTTGAATGGAAGATTCATTACAATGCTCGAGTTTTCTATTATCAGTTGTTGTTTTCTATTCTTCCAATATCGACTATGAAAATTTCAACACACTCAGATAACAGAACAAAAAAAGAGTAATTGTGCAAGAGGAAAACAAAATAATGAGTAACTCGCATTGAGAAGATCGCAACTATGCAAGTTTTGGTATTTGTAAAAGTATAAGAAGTTGAATGATATCACTGAAAGAGCATACTTACTTGCTACTGGAACTTTCTTGATCAAAAAGAAAAAAGTCCCTGGCCGAGGTTCTGCCATTGCACATAGACAGCGCTGACACCAGCGAGAATTTTCTCGAGTAGATTATTTTTTACAGTGAACTGAGCGTTCGCGCTTGATTCCTTTATCAAACAAAGAAAAATCTCATTGATTCAATTGGACTATGCTAAACCAAAATCACGACCAGATTAAATCGATTTCGTATCATAATTTTTTTTTCGGAGAAATCGTGCTCACGTAAAATTTGTTCTTATGTGTTCTTATATGTGCAAATAAATCCCATTGCTTGATCCGATTTGAATCCTTAAGATTATAAGCAACCCATATCAAATTGTAAAAGATCTTGTATAATTAAAGATCAATGTAAATGTGCATGTATGCGTTCCCACTAAAAAAAGTTATATTTAATTTGGAAACAAATAATGCAGTCGAACATGGGTGTTCGTTTAATATTTGCTTCGAACTCTATCTTTGGTAATGTTCGTGAGTGTGCGCAGCTTTTACAGACGCTTCTGGTATCTGAGATTGGATGTTTGGATAAACTGTCAATGATTTAATGCGAATTGCATCAATTTGGTTAGTGCATTCCTATTTATATATTTTGAAAGTTAAGTGATCTAGTATTTTCATCATATGACGTCTGATGAGTCAATGAATAATCGCTTTCTGACTTTATTCGTTCAAATTATTTTGTTACAGACATTATAAGAATTGACTGGCCTGGATCAAGCTCAAAACAGAGTTTGAGACTATACAACAATTTTATTTCATTGAAAAAAAAGGTGCCCGAAAGCAAAAGTATTCGAATAATTCAGTGCTCTTTTCAGAGTACAGCACGAAGTGAATATCAAACCTACATCAATCGAAATCATTCCAATCTATTGTATAGGACAATTAATTTGTTGTTCATCATTGCCACCCTGTTTAACTCGCACACCAGCTATAGACTTTGGTCCTTCTAAAAATTTTGCTGGAAATTTCTTTCGAATGAATTCCGTTGCTGGTTTGTGGAATTTTTCATAGAATTTGATGAAAACTTGATTCTTTTGTTCAGTAGATAAGCGAATATAGCCAAGATTTTTCTTCAGGATGATCATATCAAAACCTTGAGCATACAATTCTAGAGTCTTTTCAATTTCGATCGCCGCTGGTCGATGCTTCGGATCATGGGCCGTGCATCGAGCGATAAGATCTTGAAAGATCGGACTCGCTTCTTGAAAGGCAATCTTCTCTTTACCCAAGAATTGAAAGATATGTTGTGTTTCAGTAAAGAGTTCATTTAAGGTTAGACCAAACGTAAAAATATCGAGTTTTTGATCGTAGGTGCCACTGTGAAATTCTGGTGGCATGAAAGGCTGACAGCCAATGCGTGTATGTTGATTGAATGGATCTACAACACGTGCAATACCCATGTCACCGATTTTACAGGTATATTGTTGATTGACCAAAATATTATCCGATCGAATATCTCGATGAATCATATGATGTTCATGAATCTTTCGCATTCCACTAGCAATCTGTGTAGCCATATGGACTTTTCGACGTAGAGATATTTTGCCTTTGTTCTTAAGTACATTTGATAGACTGCCACGTGCCATAAATTCTGTGATAATCATGTAGGTTCTTTTGTTACTCTGTCGAGTCATGGCATATCCATAGGTTTTGAGAATGTAACCACCTGACAATTCCATGTAGGCAGACAATTCCTTGAAAAAACTCTTTTCTAGAGCATGAGTCTGGTTAGTATCAGGCACGGTGATTATTTTACAGGCCACTGGACGATTTTTTGACACCCATCTTGCCTTGTAGACAGAGCCTTGAAAAAAAAAGTCAAGTGTCTAACTAATCGAAAAGTAGATGACACTTACCAAAAGCACCACTTCCCAATTTTTCACCCAATTCAATGTCGTCCACAGGTATCTGTACGATTACTCGACGAGAAGTAAGAATCAATGGATGCGTCGACTTATGATCGTTTGTTGTGACACCCGTCGTCGCACATTTTTCACACAAATCATAGTCTGGACACGAATCACACTTGAAACGTAATCCGATAAGGTTGGATTTGTTGCATCCATCACAGATGACCGACTCATGCATTTCTTTAGCATAGAATTGTTTAAGTTTCTCGAGGGTTATGTCGTCATTGGTTACAGCTCGACCGAAGAGCTCGTTTGGCAAACGGAAGTGAACGAGTAAATGTCCACTCTTGTGCTGTTTGGGTTCGGTACGATGTTCAAAACATCCAGCACATAGATCAAAATCGTCACATTGCAAACATTTATAACGATCGCTGCGTACTGAACTATTTCCACATGCATCACACATGATATCATGCACTTCATTTCCATCATCGTCATCACTGTTGTTTACGCTCTGAAGAAGTAATTTTAGGATTTGTAGCATTACAGCCATCCGAACAGCATCAGAAGACGTGTCATCTTCCGTATCTGAAATCGATTGTTTTAGACATGTTGCTTTTCTTTCGAAATCGGTATCACAAAAAAGAAATTGTCGTACCCGACTGACTTTTAGACGTAGTTGATACAGTGGTGTGAAAGATTTCATCATCAGCGATTGCTGTTCTTTGTGGTGATTCTGATGGAAATGAAAAACGTTACCTCATTTAGATAAACATCGCACATTATCTTACTCTTGTTTGCTGTTGCGATTCCTGCCGTCAGAGTTTGGGGAGTGACATTGTAATGAAGCATTTCACAATCTCGTTTCGTTCCTAGAGAGAAAATTTATGTAGACAACTCGGAATTTGCATAAAGTCTCTGTACCTTTGGAGATCACAATCCCTCGACGTTGTGTACCATTGATCTTAATTGTGTACACTTGATAGGGTTGAATGGAATGGGATGGGGCTTGAATATATTTTTGAGCAACAACTTCCAAGCTGTTATCATCCGACCAACGAATGACACAGTATTGATCCACAGTCTCCTTGTTATGTTCTTCAATCAAAAGAAATAATTTGATTCCATCGAAAATCCAGTCTTTGTGTCACTTACCAGACAGCGCACTCAAGAAGGCTTTTGTGAGAGATTCCATCAATAACTATACGTGCGTAGTAAATACTACTCTCTTATGTTGAATGTTTTATTTTCTCAATTGCAAAAGGAAAAGAAGCAATATTTTAGGAACAGCCAGCATAAATATGTGTGCATGTTGGTTTTTTCCATCATGAGTCATTTTGTTCGTCGAGTATTTACATTACAAGTGTTGCTTTGCTTTTTCCTTCTTGTTATTTCATCATAACAATGTAATCGTAGTGCAGGAAGACAAACGCGCAACCGTCAACTTTTTATCCAGAAAACTGCTATGATTATTTTGACTGTCGATGCAGAGTTGTCAGACGAGCGACGACGACTAATAAAAAGAAAGTTCTTTTCATCGATGACTTTTCCAATAGAAAAATCTGCTGTCGAGTGATATATCTAAGCCGAATTGATCAACATCCGATTAACAACATAGAAATTGATTTTAGAACGATCCTTATGCAGTATCTATGCATATCAAAGCACCGATGGAGTAGGTTATGAAGTGAGACTTCTTTAAGAAAGTATGTTGGACGAAAAAAAGCCACTATTCTATTTCGTTTTGTAGCATCGATCACTCATGATTGTACTCATCAGCCTAGTATTCCGTTGTAATCCGTCATTGTATGAATCTATCTTGTCCTTCTTATGAATTCTATTCAGATTACGTTGAATGCTTTTCAGAGATTGTTCCTGATTTGAAAAGACGTCGACTTACATTGATAGCTGACAAAGAGTTAAAGAGATTTTGCTTGTGTTCGGAGTGCGTTTTAAAAGACACTTTCTAGATATGATCTGAAATTAGGCATTGCCGTCTTTACTGCGTCCCTTATCGATTGCCAAAGTTCTATGCCAGCGCTGATTAAAATCAATTACAAAGTTCGACACAAGAACACGATAATCGTAGAGATCAAAGATACTGCAGAGCTAATTTGAGACAGATATGTTGTCTTGTTGAAAATCGGAACCACATTTTGATGGGGAATGAGGAGGTTGGTTATCATGGCTGTTGGTTTACTTGCATAAATATTGTGTAAAACGACATCTTTTTTCGTTCTTTCTCTTTCACTTGCACTTTTTCCTAATGATTTATTTTTTGCGATCTTTATTGACATAAAAAGATGAAAAGAATACTGTTTTTTTTTCTATTCTCTTTTTTCTTTTTTTGATTTCTCAACACACACCATTATCAAACGCATATTCAACACATGGCAACAACGACAACTAACAGAAATCTCTGTGAGACATGTCGAAAAGTAAAAGGAGTATCGAAATGTGAAGGTTGTTCGAAAACCTTTTGTTATAATCATTTCGTTGATCATCGTCAACAGTTAAATAAACAATTAGATGAAGTTGAAGTAACTCGTGATCTCTTTCGACAAACACTAAGTGAACAAACATCAGAATCACAAAATGACATTTTATTACAACAAATTAATGATTGGGAACGTAATTCAATTGATAAAATTCGACAAACAGCAGATGAAGCAAGAAAACTATTACTAAAATATACAGCTAAACATATTACTGGTATAGAAATTGAGTTGAATAAATTAACTGATCAATTGAGACAAAATCGTCAAGATAATGATTTTGTTGAAACAGACTTATATCGATGGATAAACCAGCTTATTCAGCTAACTGATGAACTTAACAAACTATCAAAGATGACAATTCGACAAAGTTCAAGATCACTTATAAACAAAATTTATGTTGATATATCAATTAGTAAGTGTTGTTGATATGTATACTCTTATCGGGGATAGTAGAGGCATCTACGAGGAACTCATATCTTGAAATTTATCATAGTAACAATTGCATCTTATTGATAAAACTTTAGAAGTCCTTAATCCTTACATAAAACTATATTGAATGTAATACAGGATTTGAATAGACTTCTTTTTTCTTAAAATCAATTTGATGTATAAAACAACAGAATTGAAAAACCAACTACTTGTAACGAAACGATTCTTATGAGTTGAATCATTGGCAATGATATATTCGGAGCATGTCACTTAATACCATTTTAAAAAATTCCTCTTTAATGATTATATTTGACTGAAATATCAGGTCTAGTTGATTCGTATCGATTAAGTAAATTTTTACACTGAATCTATTTCTATTGAAAGCTGTTACAGCAGTAACGTTTCATAGTGCATTATGATCAAGAAAATAAATTCGCTGTATTTTATTGTGACTAATCAAGTTATTATCTTGTGATATTTCAATTCGTTTTCAACTTGTCAAAATTTCAAAAAGAATGAAAAACTTATGGAAAGAGTAACAACGTGGGAGTTGAAATGATCTTCTTTTCATCAAAATTTGTCAAGCTAAGTTGCACTTTTCATAAAATAAAAGTAGAGGGAACTTTTCCAGAAAAGTTAGCTGATAAGAGTTGAGAAAAACATAAATACCTTACATTTGATAATCAGAAACATCCAAATTCAATGATAACTTGAGTAGAAAATAATCTATAGTATTATTAATGATTTGACTATAGAAGCATTGTATAATGAACTTTGAATAATGAAACACTCTTGTCGTATGTAAAGAAAATTTTTTTCTCACAATTATGTCGAAGTTGATCGCAAAGAAAAAAGCAAGACTTTCAATATTATAAATTTTTCTTCTATTGTAGTATCATCATGTTGGATGGAAATTAATGCCAACACAAGATGGTTACAAAATGGTATCACGGTTGCTGGAGATAATGAAAGAGGGAATAGATTACATCAATTGGATCGTCCATGGGGTATATGTATTGATGACGATGAACAAATGATCTATATCGCTGATACTTCTAATCATCGCATTCTAGAATGGAAGTATGGAGCAACAAATGGTCGAATCGTGGCTGGCGGAAATGGACCAGGAGATCGAGTCGATCAGTTAAATAATCCAAAAGATGTTGTTGTTGATAAAGAGAATAATTGTCTCATTATTTGCGATGAAGGAAACAAGCGAGTGATGCTATGGCCTCGTCACAATGCCACAAATGGACAAATAATCAGCTCCAATGTTCGATGCGCAGGACTAGCAATGGATGATGATGGATGTTTTTATGTTTCTGACTGCAAGACCCATGAAGTACGAAGATGGAGAATAGGAGATAATTGTGGAACAGTAGTAGCAGGTGTTAATGGACGAGGTAATCATCTCAATCAGCTCAATTGTCCTAGTTACATCTTTGTCGATCAATATTATTCAGTTTATATATCAGACGAGAAGAATTATCGTGTGATGAAATGGATAAGAGGTGCAACAGAAGGAATTGTTGTTGCTGGTGGTCAAGGTAAAGGAAATGGTCTAGCTCAATTATCTTGTCCTCGTGGAGTAATTGTTGATCAGTTAGGTACTGTCTATGTGGTAGATTGTGAGAACAATCGAATAATCCCCTGGTCAAAAGAGGCTAAAGAAGGTACTGTTGTTGTTGGTGGAAATAACCAAGGAAAGCAATTAAATCAATTCTATCATCCTGAGGACTTATCATTTGACCGCGAAGGCAATATCTATGTTGTCGATTGTAGCAATGATCGAATACAACGATTCAATATTGATTTAACTTCTAGTTAGTAATGATATAAAACAACTTTCAATGAATTGTCGTGATTGTTTTACATTTTACTTTTATTAAGATGTGAACTGAAAGAATTGTCGTAAAATGAAATTTTCCTGCAAAGTTTTAAGCGGTTATCATCAAACAAATATGTTTGTTACATAGGTACTAAGGTGATTGTTGTATAAAATCTTAATAAATTATATAATAATCATGAAAAGTATTCTAAGATAAAGACTCAATTTTCTTCAACGATGTCAGAGCATTTATTGTAGAAAAACAAGTATGGAAACTATTTATCTAGTTCAAATCCATAAATCAATCGATACAAAAGCGCAACTAGAATAAACTTGAAAATTTATCGGTACTTTCGTATTTTAAACATTGTTCTGAAAAGAATTCATTCTATGTCTCGTTTAAACTGTCTCGATACTTGAAAATGAGAAAAATGAATTCGAATTATTAAAATAAAGTAGAATTCAGATTATGAAACTCAATCATTTCAGTTAATAGTTATTAACCATTCTCTGCAAAAAGAAGGATGACATACGATACTACATTTATTCAATGAAGTGTTTACGAAATTAGTGCTTTTTGACTGACTAATCGAGACTTACTCAGATATACATGAAATTATACAAACGAATCACAAAATGTTTATGCTTATCTTTATATTGTGTAGTTAGAAAAATTTTAATACTAAAATAATCTGTGAGAAGATATTATCAATACGAAATAAGTCAAATAATTTAATTACATAGATTTAGGCTTCACCACCGAAATATTTATTGAAATTAATATTGAAAATAATAGAAAACAAAATTTTTATTAAAAGGCCTAACAAAAAATATTCGATTTTATATTTCGATCAATTACATAAAAATTATAAAAAAAGCAAAAGAAAATATATTTTTGTTTCAAGATTTTTTACAAAAATAAATAAATAATATAGAATTTTATCTTATTTTGTTATTAAAATGATGAAAATTTTAGTTCTATATCAATTCTCCTTTTGCAAACCGTTAAGCTTGTTTTCTCTTCATAAAATATAAGCAGAAAACAGGAAAATCTCAAGAAATTATATGGAAGTGCACAGAATTTACCTAAAACCATGAAATGAATAACTTCTAATTATTGCAGTGTCAATTTTATGTCTAACGGATAACACTAAATCAAATTGGTTGAAATCAAAAATTGCAGCTATGAGCTGACTACAAGTCTCAGTTCTATGTTATATGAACCAAACCAATTCAATGCCTAATAAAAAAAAAAATAAAGAACGAGAGAAAATATTTTTCTCTTCTTTTTCTTTTAATTTTTATGTTTGAAAATCTTGTTCATTGTTGCTTATTTTTTTGCTAAACTTTTTAACGTTCACTTCTGTTTGTGTTTAATTTCTTTTGTACATCTAAATGTTGTCTTATCAATTGACAATATTAAATAGCATCTCTTCAATCTCCGGACAGCTCAATTACGCTAACAATCTCCCTTTAACTAAGAGATCATGTTAATAAAAAAAGAATAAAGATTATTCCAAACATTTTTTTTCTTATTTTGACAAGTATTTCTCTTGTAACGTAATTGATTAATAGAAAGATACGAGAGAGTTCGATCGTTAGAATCAAGAAAATGAAGAAAACGCTATCGGACTGCACGTAATAAATAAAAATATTTGAATGAAACTTAAAAAAAACAAGACAAAACCATGTTGCATGGTAAAAATAAAACATGAATACATAATGAAATAGATAAATAATTAACTATTAGTAATATATAACAGATTCCTCTCTAACCTGAATGGAATTATAATTCAAAAGAAGAAATTCTTATCGATCAACCGATTGCTTAATAAAAAGACGAAGCAGGACAATTTAATTCGATTCATTGAAGTTGAAAAGGTTTTCAATTTAAAATAGGAAAGACAGTCAACATGTATTGTCAAAAACTAGTTTATCAGTAAGTTAAAGATTTTAAAATCGTATCAATCTATCGAGAACAAGATTAGATTTTACCAAAACATTTTATGATTAATAGTACTGACCATCTAGAAATTGAAAATTGAACAGCAATTGAAGTGAAATTCAAAGCATCCTATAATGATAATGGCTTAAAACACTGGGATACAAGCTCATTACAAGAGTTTCTAAGACTGACACATACAATTTCAATTTAGAAGCTCTAAACACTGAATCCCACTTAATTTCCTTGAGTTTCCAATTTTTGGACGATGGGTATATCTTGTTTATTTATTTACCATGGAATAATTTTATGATTGGTGGTACTGTACATAACGTGAAAGTTGTCCACCAATGTGTTGATACATTATTCTGAATAGATAAAAACATCAGAAAGAATTATTAGATAGTATATAATAAAGCATCAACGAAAACAAAAACACATTATTTGTCTTCAATTATCAAATGTACACATCTGATCACGCATACAAAAGATCAAAGATTCTCTTTCTATCATCGATCTTAATGATGAGTACGCGTGTCACCTTGCCTTAGGCACAAACCGAACATAGGTTTATCTGTGACATGTATAGACTGAATACTTTAAATGTATATGATTCGTTCTTTTGAAGTTTGTCGTCGATAATATACATTAAAAATCACCAATCGATCACGTAATCACTCAACGAATAGGAAAATTGATAGGCGATCAATATTAGATTTTAGTTCTATTGAATACTCAAGTTATATCATTCTAATCCAAATGAAACAAAAAAAAAATATACATATCATTACACTATTTCTTTTTTTTTATGTGCAATCCTGTTGAACACTTGAATTCTGTCCATAAGAAATAGCAATTATCGAAATATTTTTGGCGCAAGCTTCTTCTCATGTAGTGTAAGTGATGTAATAAATTGCCTAGTTATTACTAATAGAATAGAAGCAATGAAGTAAAAAGCAATTATGAATCAGAGTTGCCGAATGTTTTCTTATTATTATTTCGTTAAAGATAGTTTACATCTAATTTATTAACATACATTAGTCGCCTTACTAAGAAATTTGAATCAACATTAAATATCAGTTAGAGAGTTTTATTACCAAGTAGTGAATCAGAACATACAACTTATCATGTTATTTATTTACGAATAGGATGTTTATTCAAGTACATATTACATAGATCAAGAATAACTTGTGCGATTTTAGTTATTTTATGAAAATCATCAATAGCTTCTCAGTAAACACTACTCAAAATAGCATAGATTTTGAGACGTCGATTGATATTTTCAATAACCGGTCTTTCTCTATTAATACTTCATCGGTAAATTCATGTCCATGAGGTTTCTTTCTTGGAGTGACTACGAATTCTTTACACTCACAACCACACCCTTTTTTCGCTATCAAACTAATTGGTTTTATAGAGAAAATTGATGAAAATACGCAAAGAAATAACTGTTGATCCAAAGGTATCTATAAAAAAAAAACCATCCATTATCTTAATGAGTTCTATACCGATCGATGGTCCGGACATCATTCTTTCGAATGGTGAAAACCAGACCTTTCTATCTCTTTCCTATCAACAGTTATTCGAAAAATGGTAACTCGCCTTTTATTTTGGATTGGATAATAATAAAAAAAAGTACATTTTTCTAATATCTGGCTGAAACTACATAAGTAAATAAAAATTGGAGCTTCAGACTGACTGGCCACACCCCATATACAAGAGACAACGACATAAACCATCTGTTCAATGAAAAAAACAAAATTATAATCTAGTTTTATTCGAATGACTTTTCTTGATTAACTCACACCTCGCGTATGCTCATATTTCATGCTTGATGATCATCACATCGATGTGATGTAATGTGAATAATAAGACGGAACAATACAAAAATCATGAGATATGAATCACACCTTTCTATATACATAGACACGCTTCATATCATATCTCATCAGAATTTATTGCTTAAAGGAAAATAAAGAAAATCATGTCATTGAAGACTAGTATCAAAATAATTTCGAATAAAATACTTAAATAATATTTCACATTAAGTGTTATTATATTTTGATAATCTAATCATTTTTTTTTTTATTATGGCCACTATGAAAACAAAAATAAAGAAACAATATACAATGGAATGTTATTATTATTATTTTTTATTCCTTTTAGAATAAATTATATTTTCAATACAAGTAAAACAAAAAAAAAACTTAATAATGTGTAGGATAATAATAAAATGAATGTTCATTAGTAAACATAAATTGTTGTTCATTTGTTAAATTAATATCTTCTATACTACTACTATCACCACAATAAGATGATGATGAACCATAATCATAACTATTTGAATGATTATATTTTCTATCATCTTCATTTTCACTTGTTTGTAAATTTGTTTCTGTTAATTTTTTTAAATTAATAAATTCTAATGGATTATTTACACGTGGATGTATTGATGATAACATATATGTATCATCTAATGTCATTATATTTGTTGAATATGTTGTATGATTATTATTTGTATCTTGTTGTAATATTCTTGGATTTAATGAAAGTGTTGCAGCAACAAGATTTATTGTATTTGATGATAAACCTTGACAAAGTAATTCAGCAAACTGTACATTATCTAATATTTGATTATTTGATATCATTTGTGTTAATGCTTCAATATAATTTTTTGCTAAACGTAATGTTTCTATTTTAGATAATTTTTGTGATAATGAAAAACAAGGTATAGTTTCACGTAAACGTTCTAATTGTTGATTAAGATCTTTCATACGTTCACGTTCACGACCATTTGCTTTTATACGTCGAACTTTAAAACGAGCTACACGTGATGGTGTCATTTGTTTTTTTTTTGGACCACGTTTTTTAGGAATTTTTATTGGTTCATATGTTGATATAAAAGATTTTTTTATTGTTGATATTTGATCATTTGTATTTTCAACACTTTCATGATATTGTATTTCAAGTTCAAGTTGTTTTAATTGTTGTTGTTCTTCTTCTTGAGGAATTTTTGTTGGCATTTGATATACTACAATAGTTCACCTTGATTTGAGTATATGTATAAAATAATAGAGTATAACAGCGAAAATGTTCGTCCTTGAATAAATATATATATATATATATGTATATTCTTTTTCTCTCTCTCTCTCTCTCGTTGTGAATGACCAATAAGAATTGAATAGGAGAGAAAAAAATTGTCGATTGGCACGTGTGAGATATGAGCTAATGATTAGACTAATTTTTTTACACTCTTAAGGAGAGAAAGAAAAAAAATGAGCTTATAATTATTGTGAAAAAAACGAGAAAAACAGCAGTGAAGCATGACCATAAATCTTTTTTTAATATTATAATTTTCTCTAACTCCCAGTTATGAATAAATATGAGGAATATGCGCATTCCATGAATGCCATATCCCTATTCTCAGAGATGCAACCTATGGAAGGAGCCATATGACGCTGCACTGTGCTTCTGAAACTCAACAACTCTGTACCTATGTTAACTTCCAGAAGGAGAGACAATCATCGGCAGCATCTCTCTCTATCTCTCTTATCATGAGTGTTCCGAGTCATCCTTTAATTATACGATGATAATTGATTGAACAGTCTAGTTTGTTCATTTGACTTGTATATTAGTAATGGTTTAGTTGTTTTGATAGGTTACCCTAAAGGAATTATTTATGTGTCTATTTTTTTGATGAGTCAACCATCAAATAAGCTATTAAAGATCAAACAAATCGCAAGTAGGATGATCAATGTCGCGTGTTGGTCAACTTATCAAATGAATAGAAAAAAAAAATGGCATGTGTGTGCGTGTTCTACCGCCCATGAAAAAGCACAATAGTGAGATGATACTCATTCTCTTCTTTTATTATAATTCTATTCGAATGGAAAAAAAAACAAAATAATGCCGCATGGTTCATCCTTTCATCCTTTAGGAAAAGATAAATGCTAATTTTCAATGACCAACTGTCTCTGAAATAAAAAAAAGAAAAAGAAAATTTCATTTAGTTGAGGTCAACATTGACTCTCTCTTAAGTTCCTAAATGAAATTGATATCTTTTTAGTTTTATCTTTTGTCAAAGAAAGTGTTCGCACTGACAATAAGATTATTGTATGAAAAGAAAAATCAACAAGCAGAAAGTTAAGAAAATGATGTAAGTGTCTTTTGCACGCAAGAAATTCATTTCATGATTATTACCATGAAGAATATAAATCTGATGCAATAAGTTTTTTTTTTATTATTATTATGCTTGAATGAATAAGCAAGTGTCACACGAGAGAGAAAAAATAAGACTCATTATTTTTAATTGGACTAGTCTTCGTCAATAAAAAAAAAAATAATTATTGCTCTTTTTCTTATGTAAAAGAAATGATAGATTATGTGACCTCGAGATGTTTTGACAAGAAGAAGTTTATCTCATGATTGTCGTCATTATGAATAGAAATTATAACGCCTTAGATATTGATCGAAAAAAGATTACATGTTTATTAGACAAAAAAAGAAAAAGTAAAAATCTGTCATTATAATATAGTAGTTTCGAAATTTATTTATCTAGATTTATTTTCAATTGTGTTTGTTATCAAATTCAATAAGTTCATAAAGCAAAAAAAAAAAAAACGAATGAATTAATTTTCTGACTGATTTATAATTACCTATACTCACTCAATAAATAAAAAAAAAAAAAAATTCATATAGGTGTTAAAACAATCATATCGTTATCAGTCAAACTAATCAATATGTATACCTAGTAGCTCTAGCAGTAAATTGAACATTGATAAACAGATGTTATAATCTTTGCCGATAGTTTTATAACTCTTTAAATTCAAGAAGATATAATAAAATAATTTATTTAAATGTGATTAATTGTTATTTGAAAATCATGTTCATCAATTACAGGTGTCAATATCTTGTTTGAGACTTTTTCATAAACTGTATTTTTGTTTTCTTTTTCTATAGAAACAATCATCCGATTGATTTGTTGTTTGATACGCTTCTTTTATTTCCAGGTGTAATATAGTAATAAATCAGAATATATATATTTATGTATGTATGTATATACATAGATCAATCAATTATTTAACAGTTAACCTGCTGAGTTGATCAAACAAACACATTTCTCAATTAACTAGTACTTATCGATGATGTAACGTTTTTTTTTCTGTTATGGTTTTGTTTTCTATGATTCATATGCCGACATGACAATAACAACAAAAAAAAAAAACTAAGATTGGTGTTAGAGTTTGTCACTTCATGCAATTGAGTGAATGTAAGAGTGTCCAATTTCTTTGAATTTCAAGAATAAAATTAACAGATATGACGCATTTAAAAAAAAATGTACTATATTCTTTTAATGAATAAATTAATAGTCATCGAATTCGTATGTAGACATACTTGTTTATGTGTTCAACCTTATCTCCTTCTTTTTTTTTCTCCCCAGTGAGTACATACTAAGAATTGATTTATAAACACGAATGAACAATTGAATTGTAAATATAGATTTAAACAGCACAACAGGACATTAATAGCATGAAATTGAAAACACAAGAGACTAATAGTTGTATAGAGGAGAAGAAAAAAAAGAGAAGGTATTGTTTTTACTTTGTTTTCTTTTCTTCTATATGAAATTGTATTGAATGACAGATATTTTTTGAGAGAGTGAAGTATCTTCGTACCAATAAGCTAAGGACGTGAACTCTTTTCAGAATATTCATAGTTCATTTGGATCTACATAATGCATATAGTCTCAATACAAAAGCGATTGAATAGCTGATAACTTTCTCTCGTCAGTATTTTGAATTTATCTCGATCGCGTTTCACTATATCGAAATATTTTTGTTTTTCAACAAGATTTGTCCTTCAATTTCTTATTGATCAAAATAATCGTTGTCTACTCTTCTACAGATAATACAATGAATTCATCAAAGATAATTTTTTTAATTGCATATTTTTAACTCTTGAATTAGTGTTGCTATTGATATCAATATATTCTAGTCGATGAGTTTCACAAACTCAGTTCAATTCAAATAATATAGGACGAGCTAATGACCTTTGTTAATAGCACTGTTATTGTGTTAACGAGATCCCTCTTTCTTTCATGACCCCAAAAAATTGATTTATTGTATCACAGATATGGCTGATATACGATCAAAGACTGTATATATTGGTAACATCTTGTTATAATATATATATAAACTACTTTCTTATTACATTTGTTGGATCAATAAGTAAAACAATAATTACGAGACGAGTCTCAAATTAGATACAATAAAACAACATCTAAGACATATTTCACAATTTCACTTCCACAGAGATTGCGCTAACAGTTTTTATAAGTAAAAAAAAAAAATAAAACAAACATAGGTGTTCATGCCCATGTAAACTGATATATAGTTCAATTGAAAACAAAAAAATACTATTCTAAATCGTTATTCATATGCTATTCGTTTTCAACTCTATATAAGTTTGCAGCTTTTACAGAGGACTCCAAATATTCTCTATAATATAATTTCTATCTAGTTGTATTTTAATAAAGTTAAGACAATATTTGTTAACCTTGATTTATACTATATATTGACTTCAAAAAATATAAGTATACAAGATCCTCTTACCAAAGTATTATAATACAATATTAATTCACTAAAAGTCAATAATGATTTAATACTATGATTTAAGATTAATAATTTCATTCAAATTTAAAATTTTTCTTTTCATAGAAAATAATAAGAACATGACACAAAAATAATATAGCAAAGTTACAGAAGGCATGTGATACACTACAATATGTGTAAAGTAACATTAAAAAAAAAAAAAGAAAAAGAAAAAAGTTCAGTACATATATTTATTTTATGAATTATTAGTCTTAATTTATATTATTATTATTATTGTTTTCTTTTATGGTGATCGACCAATTTTAAAAACAAAGATACTATAAAGAATAAATGAGAAGAATGTTAAAACTAAGGCAACGATTTCCAAGGCAGTTGACCAATCGATTCGTATTTCGTGTGTATCTCGAGCTCTTTGTCGAAGTGAATCTAAATCATTAGCTAAAATAAAAAAAAAAACTTTTCGTAAATATTTATAATTTGTTTATATCGAAATTTTGAAAATGAATCTTATAGAAAGAATAATTATTTTCATTCTGTATATCATTGATATTTTATGAGTTTTTTTTTTTTTTTCATTGTTCTTTAAGATTTACATACCAGTATTTGCTAATCGAACAACATACATTATATCTCGTGATAAATAACTTCCAACAAGAATCAATGCAATAAGTATAAATATGAATGCCAATAAAATTAAAATAAATGGAAAAAAACTAAGACATACACCTATGGAATAATTTTCTGATACATTTATTGAATGAATAAATAGAAGAATAATTGAAAGACCAAGAAATATCGAAGCTATTATTGTACATGCTGCAATACCTTTTGTCGATGGTAAAAAATCACATTGACAACTTTCAATTGATGTTCTTGGTAAACAAAATGTTCAATTAAAACAATTATCACTCATTGGATATTTATTAGGAAAACATGTTTCTGTTTTATTATTTTCCGAAGGTATACATCGTGTGAATAATCCAATAGTTGTCTCATTAAATTGACCTACATTAGATATCTTTGGAATTGCTTTTTTCCAATGATGATGACCCATAGCAGTAACATGAAAAATAAATGCAAAGACAATAAGAATAAAAACAGTGAAGTAAAAAATTTTGGCTTTGTTCATTTTTGTATTGTAATGAATAAAATAATTAGTAATTAATCTATATGAAATATTGAAAAGAAATAAAACTATAGTAATTACTTGTTGTTTCTTTTT